GGAAAAAAAAAAGAAAAACAATGTTTTCTTAGTTAAAAGGTGAAAAAGTAATTAATTAAAAAAAATAAAATAAAATAAAAATGTGCAGTAATGCAGGTGCTTCAGATCTTCTACTCTTCTTTTTGGCACGCCCGGAATTCAGGAGAATGTTGAATTTCCCTCTGATACACTGTTCCTCCGTGTTGTAAGCCACAGTCCTGATTTTAAGGCAGGCCGTATTGGTTCCCCTTACTGCTGTATTTGTATGTACAGAAGAGTCAGTTCGTGGCTCTGCCTCTGGGTGGCAGTGTGTCTGGATTGACCTCCAAGGCTTTAAGTCCTCTCTGACCAGGAGTTCTCTATTGTACCTGAACCAGCTCCGCCCAGATCTGTTTCACCAGTCGCCACTCTCAGCTCTGTTTTCCAGGCTCCCCAAAAACAATCTTCCCCTACAAGCTCCGCTAGCGACCCCAATTGGGCAATCACATGCACCGGGATCAACAATCAAACTCACAGATTTAAGAGGAAGTGTGTAAACAAGAGCCTGGGAGGCTGTGGGAACTCGCAGGGCTCCACCTTCCAGCTGTTTGCATTGTTGTTAATCCTCACCTGAGACAAATGGAAATTGCTCTGGATGGTGTGCTCAGTGGTTAGAGAAACATCAATGTGAGAGACGCACATCCATTGGTTGCCTCCCAACCCCCCGACACACACACACCAGGGCTAGGAGTCAAGCCTGCAACCCAGGGGTGCGCCCTTGGCCAGGAATTGAGCCCATGACCCTTTGGTGTGTGGGCCAACACTCTAACCGTTGAACACACTGGCGGAGGCTGTTTCCATTTTCTCAAGGTATTTTTTTTCTCTTTTGATTTCTTCATTAACCAGTGGTTCAGTAGCATGATGTTTAATTTCCACATATTTGTGAATTTTCCAGCTTTCTCATAATTGATTTATAGTTCATACCATTGTGGTTAGAAAAGATGTTTAATAGGATTTCAATCTTCTTATATTGGACTGGTTTTGCTGCCTAACATATGGTAGGTCCTGGAAAATTTTCCATGTGCATTTGAGTTAAGTCTCTCTGATTGAACATGTTGTTAAGGTTGATTTTTTCTTACTGATTTTCTCTGGGTGATCTATTCATTGATGTATGTGGGGTATTAAAGTCTCCTATTATTATATTGTTTTCTATTTCTCCCTTTGGGTCTGTTATTATTTGCTTATATATTTAGGTGTTTCTATGTTGGGTGCATAAATATTTACAAATATTATAAACTAGAGGCCCGGTGCACAAAAATTTGTGCACTGGGGCGGGGGGGGTCATCCTTCAGCCCAGCCTTCGCCCATTTGCAGTCCAGGACCTCTTGGGGGATGTCCACCTGTTGACTTAGGCCCACTCCCCGGGGGATCAGGCCTAAGCTTGCAGTCAGACATCCTTCTGGCAGCCAGGGAGCCCTCGGGGGATGTACGACTGAAGGCTTAGGCCCCCAAGGGATCGGGCCTAAACCGTTAGTTGGACATTCTTAGCGCTGCCACGGAGGTGGGAGAGGCTCCTGCCACCACCTCTGCGCTGGCCAGCCATGAGCCAGCTTCTGGCTGAGTGGCACTCCCCATATGGAAGTGCACTGACCACCAGGGGGCAGCTTCTGCATTGAGCTTCTGCCCCCTGGTGGCCAGTGCGCATCATAGCAACCGACCATTCTGCTGTTCAGTCAATTTGCATATTAGCCTTTTATTATTATTATATAGGATGTCCCTATTTTCCGCCTTTTGCCCCCTCTACCCAGCTGTTGCCCCCCACTTCTCTCTGGCCATCTGTTGTCTGTGGTCTGTGT